AACCAAGGTGCAGTATAGCACCAACGAAACCCACATCATTGCTCTAGTTCCCGAATGCTTCTCCTCCAACTACCGTGACCCAGTTCTACCTTACAAATCTGGCTAGACTGGAGTACACACATCCCTGCTAGATAAGAGCTCTGGACACATGGAATTCAGGACAAATAAAACCCTCAGGAACAGTAGAAGGAGTATCGATATCATGTGGGTAAGCGGATGGTCAGGGGGAGGGAAAGAGAAAGGGGGAACCCATCACAAGGTTGAATATACAGCACACACACCCCAAGGAGACAAATAACAGAAATGTGGGGGAAGGGACACAATGGACAGTGTAAGATAGGAAATAATAGCAATATTGATCAAGGATTCATGAGGGTGGGAGGCTGAGGGAAGAGGGGGGAAAATAGGAGCTGATATCAAGGGCTCAAGTAGAACAGGTTTTGGAAATGACGATGTCAACCCATGTACAAATATGCTCGGTTCAATGAATTATGGTGTGTTATAAGAGCTGTCAAAGCCCCCAATAAAAAGTATGTTTAAAACTTAATTTGCTTGTTAACTGAAAGAATACCAGGGTAGGAGAGACAAAGATCTTCTTCCAGAATGTTCCCCTAGAGCTGGAACCCCGAATGCAGACCGTCAACCACCTAAACGATGAAAACCAAGTCCCTGTTTGTGGAAGCCACTCCGGTCAATGGTGCTTCTGCTGTAGCAGCGCTGAGAAATGAAGCTCTGGGCGTCTGCAAGCTCGGGACTAGAAAGCAGTGGGAGTGGTTTGTTCAGAACCCCGAAGTACGAGGAAAGAGAACCAGGTATCCATTGGCCCTTTATGGAGAGAAGCTGTGGTCTAGGTGATGGGCGGGGGCGGAAAAAGAAATCGACCCCTGTTCCTGCCCTCAAGAGCTGACTTCTCCTAGAGCAGAGGTTCTCCACCTTCCTCATGCCGAGACCCTTCCATACAGTTCCTCATGTGGTGGGGACCCCCAACCATCAAATTATTTTTGTTGCTACTTTATAACTGTCATTTTGCGACCCACAGGTTGAGAATCACTGTCCTAGAGGACTGACGTCCGGGACACAGACTGTTCTCAGAGTGAGCAGTGCCCTCCGAGGTGGGCACGGAATGTTTAAGAAGGCCCCGGAGAAGCCAGGATCCCAGGACATGGAGTGGTCCAGGAGACCCTGCTAGAGACTGGGCATTTGGGTAGGGCTTCGGACAGACTGGAAGGATTTGGAAGGGCGGGAGGAGAGCTTTCAAGGCGGCGAGAACTTTCAAGTGCACCTAAGGTGGGAGGAGAGCTTTCAAGGCGGGGTGCAGGAAAGCACAGGGTCTCGTGGCATTGAAGTTGGCCAGGATTTCATCCTGTTTGGTTCCACCACCAACGCTCATGGAAATAGCAGTCAAGAGATCAAATGGCACGTGGCATCGGGCAAATACGCTGCCCAGGACCTCTTTAAAGTGTTGAAAAGCAAGGATGTT